TCAGAGAAAAGCACTTAATAGAGACCAACTTAATTTTGTATTTGAAATTCAAATAATCTTAAGATCCACATCTAAGATCCACTTTCTATTCTTTCACTTGGATAAATGTTATTTTTTCCCCCTCACTCCAAACAGCCCAAGTTTTATACTATATTGTAGCTCTTTGTCTTTTGGCTATAAGTAGAAACATTGAGAGAAAAGGCTATGTATATCCAGACCAATTTTTACACCAAAGAAAATAGGATTAAGTGGTATTAAACTGCAAAGATGTGGGCATTTGATTTTCTATGAATCAAAAGCATTTTCAAAATAATTTTTATGACCTCCCTTTCAGTTACATTTTCTTTTTCATATTTATTTTTGATATTCTTTTCATTCATCCATTCACTCATTAGCAAACACTGACAGCATATATAGTGTACGCAAAACTGCTTTTTCCACAAAAAGCAAAGAAGATATCCTACCATGAATACAACTTGGAAATAGCATATTCCATCACTTATTGCTTTGAGGCATCTCAGTTTTAGGTTAGTCCTGGATGCCATTTTAAATCTGAAACAAGTAGTTCCTCTTTATGAGTAGAAGTGCAGTCTATGTAACTAACATTCAAGTTATTTCATAATGGAAATATAGCCCCATGGTGTATTGATTTATACTAGTCTTTGTTCAATTTTGAATCCAATCTTACTCAGACAGGCAGGAACCACTTGCTATTTTGTATAGTGTGTACTCCACCTAGACACTTCCTGAATGGTTATTATTGTTCCCACCATTATTAATTGTATGATTGTATTATCAAAATAACAAGAGTAACAGTAATAAGAATGACTGTTTCAACCCTAATAATTCCTGGTAATGATGTAGTATATATTTTTGTTATAATGGCAAAAAACAAGCAAGCAAACAAGCTGCTAATTACAATCTCCCATCCTTCTATGAAGGTCCATTTCCTTGGAACTCCCTTACTCCATATCCACTAAAAATGAGTATTATACGTGGAGATTTAAAAAAAGAGTAAACTATTCAAAATCTAATGGGATCCCTCCTGACATAATCCGAGATTTTATAAAGTGAATGAAATCTTTTTACATAAATTATCAGACAGCTTTCAGATAAAAATTACGTCTTGCCACTGTCTCATTTTGATTTTAACCAGGCACCTAGATATTTTTTAAAAAAATACTCTATACTCTTTGAAACAATTCCTGATTCAACCACTATCCCATTCTTCTGGTCTTTATCCATACATCCATATATCAAACAAACTGAAAGCAAATCCAAATAGTATTCTTTGATTTTTCAGCACAGAAAAAGTTTAGCATCAAATCAGTTAAAAGAACTGAGAAAAGTATTTGATGTGCCTATTGACTTCCCATTAACCTTGAGAGTAAATGTAGCTATGGTCAAACAAAAGAACATAGTGGCGATGGTTAATGAGTAAAAAGGACTGATAAACCACTCAATCAATAAACACAAAGGGACATATCGTTTAGTAGATTAGATCAGCCATCTATCAAAAGGTAAGGCAACATTTCATCCTGACAAAACTTGCTCAATTATAGTTCCTTGATAGCTATGACAAATCTTTTGCCTAAGTTTTTTTAGGGAGATATCTGGAGCAGTGTTTTTGTGTTAAAATATTTTTTAATAAACTATTGATAAAACCATATTAGTTTGGAAATACAATGAAAACAATATCACAAAATTAATGTAATTGCAGGCCCGTGGTGAGTGAATCTGTCTGTTCATAACAAATTTATGTGCCATTCAAAAATATTATGACCTAACAGAAGGAAGTGTTCCTCATTTCAGTGAGACTTATTTAGATTCCCTTCATTAGCTACTTACTGATTGCTGATTGATAATGTCAACAAACAGAATGAGATAAGTAATATATTAGTGGAAAATAAACCTACGTTCCCCTAGGGAATTAGTTACAGAGGAAGGGATAAAGAAAAACCTACTGAGTATTGGTCTATTCCTTTTTGAATGAAAGGAATACCAGGAATCTATGCAGCTATAGCTGGACCTTAATCAGAGAGTCATATATTGTATGGCACATTCCAACCTCTTTGCGTTGACTGATTTCCCCCCCCCCCATACCCTTGAGTTCTTCCATAGAGAACATGTGGAATAGTAATGTAAATTATGGATTCTGATGGATCATCTGCACCTTTCCCCCTTTAATCCATCACATCTTTTAGCTCACTGTCCATACTGTCATTACCCACATGTCTCCTCTTCTTGAAAGGTTCCCTAAAGTTATCACCATTAGCTTACTTGTCACAAAAAAGTCCTATCCTTGACAGAAGACATAATATATGTCTGTGTCTTACACTTAGATCAGCCTCTTAAGTCCTTTGACTCTAGTGACATTAACAGATACAATCCCTCCTCTGCATCATAACTTGATTTATCTATCCCCTCTCTACTCCTTATGCCCATCGCCCCCCCCCCCCAAAGTGCACAAAACAATAGACTGACTCCCTCTGCCTCCTTCCAACAGGTTTTGGATCATTGGGGGAACTGGAGGCAAGAGAGACCACTTTGAAAGTTTATAATTTATGTTGACCATTTCCAGACTGAGGCATCTCCTTACCCTCTAGTCTCTCCACTGGAAATCTTATGGTGGTGAGACTGATCTACTTACAATCTCCCCATGCAGTTTACACCTCCTACTCCAAACTCCCCATTACCCTCCCACATGGAACACATACAGAGCAGGCAGCATCTTTCAAAGCCTCCCCCAGCAATACTTCTGGAAGACAGAGAAGAAGAGAAAAGGTTGGGACTAAGTTGTCAAATATTACCGAACCTCCACCCCTATTATCTTTTTAAGGGGTCAGAGACTTTTGTACCTAAGTTACGCATCTCTTCTTCTTCCCTGGGCAACCTTATCATTCTCAGGACCAAAACGCATCCCCGCCCCCTAACCAACAAAAACAAGCAGACCACACTGCTATTGCTGCCACTGCCGCCGCCCCAACTGTTGCAGGCACCAGGGGCAGTGGACTGGCATTTCTGTGCCACAAACACAGGACTCTCCACACTCAGGAAGGGGGAGCCCCAAGAAA